AGCCATTTGGACCCAGGCTGGAGTGGCTGCCAACCCAGCAGCCACCCATGCCACCAGCCTGGCTTAGAGATGCCAGGCTGAGGCACAACCTGAGCCCCAGTGAGCGTTTTGCCTGAAGGCACAGGCGGAAGCATGGGCAGGATGTTTTACCTCAACACCACTCATTGGTGCTGCAGGCTGGACCTTCTGTTCCATGGTGGACAAACAGAAGGCCAAGGGGAAGAAAGCAGAAGGGGGAGGAATTCCTGACATGCTTCACCTGGGAAAGTGCCTACAGGATTTATTTATTGTTGGAATGTTAGCGAACAAGGAAGATGCGAAGGAAATCAGTCCCTGGCATCCTCCCGTTCCCTGCGTGGCATGCAAAGACCCCACGCCTAACTACATTTAAACCACCTAAGCAATGCTGGAATTGGATGCCTTTCTCCCATAACAAAGATTTAAACTTGGAGAGCTCTCTAACATTATATTTTCAGGAAGAAAAAAATGACAGAAACAAAGAGTACATACTCTTACAAACAGTGAGCCAAAAGCAAACTGCAAAGTTGCATGAAATCTAAAATCAGAACCACATTTTAAAATCATACGCATAGGACAAAAGACTGGAGGGAAACATCAAAATGCTAATCACATTGAGATTATGACCAATTTTTTTTCTTGCTTGTTTTCCCTATTTTCATAATGGCAAAAAAAAAATCCTAAGAAAAGTTTCCTTGAAAGAATTTTTAAACAAACAGAAGATTCTTTCCATTATTTTCAAATCCCTTTCACATCTGATTCTTGCAGCAACCCTTTAGGGGGATCCATGTTACATAATTTCATTCTGTTACGTACAAAACTAAGATGATATGTTTAGGACATGCACTGTCACTCATTGGGCTGGAGGTCCACCTATGGGTGGCTCACAGGTCTCCAGAGTCCTTGCCAAAGCTCTGGCTTCCAGCATGTCATCTCAGATTCCCAGGGCTCCAGGGTCTACTCTCTTTGGTGGGAATGCCTGCTACCTGGATGTTGGCTTGGGGTCCCAGGGGATATCTATGGCTGTTGATGATAGACAACATGAGATGTCCCCAAGGATGCAGTCCCTGCCTGGGGTACTCTGCTACCTCTTTTACCAGTCACCAAGTCCACGTGGGTAGAAATTCTTGGACTTGTTGAGAGAAAGGGAGGGAGAGAGAGGACAGGCTGTATTTGAGAATCAAGTCTGACAACATTTCTCATCTAGTTTTTGGAGAAGGGCGACTGCAGAAGTGGGTCTGTCCTAGTGCCATTCCACATCTCCCCTCCAACACTTTCTCTCTCCCCCACTCTCAGAAGTCGCCAGAGGCTTGCAAGGGGGTCTCCATTCAGGGCCCCAGAGTGAGAGCGTGGCCCAAAGATCCTCACGTCAGAAAAGGTGAGACTTAGAAAGAAGGAAGGTGTGCTTCGCTGGACAAAGCCAAAGCCAGAACCAGACCAGAACTCAGACTCGCTGTCCCCAGGGCAGGGGCTTTGGGGGGCCATCCTCCCAGAACAGTGGGTTGCTGTGGGTAAGGGCAGGAACACCCTGACTGTGTTCCCTCCGGGGCCTCATGCCTACTCCCTGGTGACTGTCACTACTTACCATGATGAGGGGGACAGAGTGAGCCCTGGGGTAGATTCAGGGACACCCCCAGAAGCCCCTGTGGATTCGTAATGAATACACTGCTGTGGACTTACTTTGTGTCCCTTCCTAGAGGCTCCATACTCAGTGCCATGCTTTCGTCGAGGACACTGAAGCCTGACAGTGTCATGACCTAAGGGGCACAGCTGGAAGCACCGAACCAGAATCAAAGTGCCTTCCGCACCTCAGTGCCCACTGTGGATGCTTCCCTGGCACCCGAGGGTGCCTGTTTTGGAGACTCTTAGGTTAGTAATCCCCACATTCCAACAGACTTTGTAGAAAACGTGGACTTTGAAAAGGAGGAGGAGGAAGAAAGTCCACCCACTCCGTTTTGGTGAAGGAGTGGGCTGCTGGTGCTGATTTTAACTTAGGCTGAACTTGTGTTTCTAGAGCTCTGTGAGCAACTACAGTCTAGGATTTGGGAGAACAGGATAATGGGGGAGAGGAATGTGAGAAAAGACAGTGCAGTGAACTAAGACACTGCTAAAATCTTTAAATATCTTGTGAAATTTCTTTTCTTTCCTTTTTTGCTTTTGGCTCCCCACAATGTTTTTATGTTTGGATTCGGTTGCCATGAGTGGACTGTTTTTAGCTGCCTAGTTCCTTCCCCTCCTCTTCTATTTTTTTTTTTCCTTCCTTCTGCACATGCTAGTGCACGAAGGCTGCAATTCTTATCTCACTCAGCAAAACATCCCGAGGCTGGGCTGGACGTGGATTCCCCAAGCGGTTCTCCAGTGTAAAACCTCAGCCCGAGACAAGTCTCTGTTTAACCTGCCCTCGCCAGGATCAACTCCTGGAATAACCGGAACCAGTGCCTCCTCCTGAGGCGGGAGGGGCACTCTTGCCTTTGTGCTGAAAGCGGCTGTGGTGTAGACAGCTTTTCTGGCCCCTCTTTGCGCTGTACTGACCGTGTGGCTGCGGGGCGTTGGTGGCATTGTCAGGACACCCAGGACGTCTTCCTAGGGCACAGACTTGGGACTCCTCCTCTCTCTGTCTCTCCAGTTGGGCGGGCACTTGCCAGCTCTCCTGGGGGCTTGGGGAGGGCGGCTGCAGTAGGTCGTGTTTTCCTTGGGTGTTTCTTTCAGGTGGGGGTGAGATTCTTACCGCTTCCAGGGTTTCAGCAGGTTAGCAGGCACGCAATGCTAAGCTCAGACTTCTCCAAGCGGCAGACAGCTTTTCTATCCAGGTGCCACTTGTGGAATCAAAACTAAGAATTATTAGAACGAAACAAGAGTAATAAGAACCACGTGCGGTGGGCTTCTGTGTCCAGTGCCCTTCTCTGACTTGGATTTGTGGAGCTGGAGCGGCTGTTTACTCAACGCCCTAAAATGAATTTCCCCGGAAGGTCAGGATCAAAACTCCACAGACCTGGCTTGAGTGTATTCATGGAATCAGTTTAACTCGTAAATCTGGTTAAAGATTTCTGCAGGCGGCTCACAGGGGTAGTGAAAAGCTTCTCCCCTATCTTCTCGGCTCACTTTATCATGGTGCTGTTTATTCCAAATGACTTTCACTGACATGTAAAACTCTCCCATCTGAGCTGCTAGGCATTCCCGGGCTGTGCAGACTCGCCCGCCCGGGTTTTACCTGCCCGCGCCGCGGCCCCAGGGCGGGGCGTGGAGGTGTGCAGCCGGGTGTGGGCGTGGGACCGGAGGTGGGGCCCCGACAGCCGTTACCAGGGCGACAGGCAAAGCAAAACACACGCCCCGCGCTTCCCGCACGTAGCCGCTGGAAATCAAAGATAGATCAGGGCAGGATCTCCGGGGATCCCTGGGTGGAACCACCCCAGGGTTCCCCGGCTGCCCCGGCTGGAGACATCCAGGCCTCCCCCAGGTCTTCCGGGTCCCGAAGTTGTAGGGGAAGGGGGCGGGGTGTCTGGGCGTGGCTCCGACGTGGGGCCCTGGAACCCGAGTGCAGAGAACTTGATTTTACCACCAGCTCGGAGAATGGGTGTCTGTCCAAAGAGACGCCGATTCCCCGTGTGTGTGTGTGTGTGTTTTGCGGGGTGCGGATGCCAGGTGAGACACGGGTCCGAAACACCTCTAGTTCACGCCCAAACTAACAAACCATGACCTTTGCTCCTCTCCCTCCAAGTGGCAGGTGGACGCAGGTGTCTGCGCCCTTGGCGTTGCTCTACAGCACGCGGGCGCGGACAGGTCTCCCTCCCAGGCAGGTGCGAACGTCCCCGGGCCACACTTGAGTCCTTATCCAAACGTCCGTGGGCTGTTGGGAAGGACCCTGACTCTACGGCTCTCAGAGCACAGCTGGAGCCAAGGAATCTGAACCAGAAAAAAAATTTTTTTTTAAGGTTCAAACCCAGTTCTACCGAGGCCTCAGCGGGAAACTCAGGACCCGCCTTTTCCAGCTCCCCGAGTATGAGGGCCCAGGGAATTTCGGCCCAGGGAATTTCGGCCGAGGGGCTCCGTTCTGGCTGGGATCCGTGCGTATCCGTCCAGTCCGGGCCGTCCAGTCCCAGGCAATCTCGGGGCGCAGAAGGAGGGAGATGAGTTTTCCCTAAACACTGCCCGAGAACCGGGCGAGCCCCTACCCGGGCCTCCCCGCGGAGACCAAAGCGCTCTTTCCTACCCTTCGGCCCCTTTCTACCCCTCCAGGTCGCCTCTGATTTCTCCAGGCCTCTCCTTTCCACGCTCTTGTTACTTTCTATGAAAATCGCCTGGTCAATTTCAAATGCTTTGTGGCTGTTTTGAAAAACAAAAACAATCACACGCAGCCGGACACGGTCCCACGGCCGCGGTTCTCAGCTGGCCCGGAGGCGCTCAGCGTGTGCACTGCGCTCCGCCACCGCATTAAGGGGCTAGCTTCACGCCGCCGGGGAACGGTGTGGATTCTCGGCAGGACGACTGTGGGCACCTCGGCCACCCTAGAGACTAAGGCTTCGGCCTCTGCCTCGCCCGGGGCTCCAGAAAGATGCGTCTGGAGCGTGCGAGGTGGGGGGTGGGGAGGACGTTTTCCTGAAGCGCCAGAAAATGACCGCGCGTTTTGGAGAAAGGTCGTGCCCATTTCCCAGCCTCACCTAGTCTGGGTAGCGGCCAGGATCCGCCTCCCGGGCACCCCCTCCAACCTAGCGGAGGGAGAGATGCCAGCGCGGTGGAGTCATGCCGCTGGCTTGGGCACCATTGGCTCACGCCTGGAACACGCAGCGGCGAGTACGCACATCTGGCGGCGCGCCCGGGCGGCTCCCGGCCTGATATGGAGCGAGAGGGCGGGCGGGTGTGAGTGTTCGCGGGTGCCCGGCCCCGACTCCGCCCCGCGCTTGCATCACCCGCCCCCCAGCGCCGTCCGCGCGCGCCCCGCCTTCGCCCCTCCTCCACCCCCCCTCCAGCTCTCGGCCTGGCCGGTTCTCCTGGAAGCTATTAATAGCATTACGTCAGCCTGGGGCTGGTAACCCTGAGTAAAGGGGCGCGCTGCCAGAGCCGGAGCTATAAAAACGGTGATGCAACGCGCTCCGAGTCACAGTCGCACTCGGCGAGGCGCGCACTGCTCGACGCTCTCCCCGTGCCACCGCCAGACGGACGCGCGGACCCACAGCTCGCCCTCCGGACCTTGCCCGCCCTCCGGACCCGGCCCGCCCCGAGCGGCGACGCGAGGTAAGCGCCGCTGGCGGAGGGGTCTATCGGGCGCCCCTCGTGGGTCCCCTTTGCGCGCCCCTGTGACCTGTCCGTCCCCAGACCCCCGCACCCAAGCCTGGCCGGCGCGCCCAGCCCCCGGCGCCGGAACCGGTCTGGCTGAACTTCTCCGGGCCACGGCTGCTCCTGAGCGCTCCGGAAAGTTTCTCGCGAAGTGAAAGAACGAAACTTTCTCTTTTGACTTGGGGCGCGAAAGACTGCTGGGGACCGAGGACTTCCTTCGGGCGTCGCGCTCGCAGCCGCGGCGGGGACTGGGCGCGAGGTGGGTGTCGGGGTGGTGGGGGTGTCCGGGGCTGTCCGAGCCGCCGTCCCCCTCCGTCCCTCACTGGGCTTCCCGGACCCCGCCACTGCCGACGAGAGGAATGAAGCTCTGCCCCGGCGCCGAGCGGAATGAATGGGGAGGGGTCCGCGAGCCGGGGTCGCGGGCGCAGCCGCTGGGGGTCGCCCTGCGCACCCGGAGCGCTGGTCCTGGAGCCGCGAGCGCGCGTTCGTCGGGACAAATTTGGAAGAGGCGAGCGCTGGTGTCGCGCTGTCCGGGCACGGAAGGCGAAAAGGCTCCCTGCCGGTGTCGGCTCCCGGGTCCGGGACTTCTCGGTCCAGCCTGGCGCACGCTTTTCTCTGCTGCCTGTGGCGCTCACCCTGGCTTTGCTTTTGGCGGGTCTGCGGATTTGACTGCTCTGCGTCCGCGGAGACCCGTGGGCGGGGCGGCGAGAGTGTAGGGATGCTCCCAGGGACACTGAGAGAACGGTTTGTGGTCTGAACAGAGCTTGTACGGTACTGGTGTTCTTTACCTGTGTCCCCGCTGGGAAGTATAGGCAGGTAGATGCCACATGCCAGGAAAGGTCCTTTCTAGCTGAAAACCTCCAGCCTTTAGATTGGCAAAAGGGGCTTTCGAGGGGACATAAATGGGGGGGGTGTCTCTGCTGTTGCTGGCTAATCTCTGAGACAGTGGGGTGAAGGGGACTTTTCCTCCTTCTTTTCCTTATTTTCTTTTCCTTAATTTCTTCAGGTAGATACATAGATGTTCTTCCAAAGAAAGGAGTTTGCCAAAGCCTTGCTGGAGCTGGAAAACAAAAATCAAGGGCTAGAGAATCTGGGTGTTCTCACAGTGTGTCTGTGCCCGTGTGGGTGACAGTCGTATCTTTGTCCCTGACTTAAAGCCAAGGAGAAACTTCGGGGACTGTCCCCTTTGGGTTGCCTTTCGCCTTTGCCATTGGGTGATGCTTCCACCGGCAGGCTGTGGCCTGGAATCAGCCAGGTGGGGTGGGGGTGGGGTTGACCATGTCTGGATGGTTCTGGGGACATCAGAGGCCACCGCCACGCCCACTGTGTGGCCCCTGGGCCTTTGTTGTTATAAACTTTCCCTTTCTGTCCCTTAGCCATTATCTGCTTTCTTTCTCTCTTGGCCTTTTTCTTCCATAAGCCCTCCCTGTGCTGGTCTTGCCAGTCTCCTCCGGTGGCTACCGTAAAGGATTGAGGACTATTGTCCCCCCACCTACCTGGCTAACGGCTCCATTCTCCAGTTGCCTCTTTGGTTGACCTCTGGATCCCAGTTGTGACGGAGTGGGATGGCAGGGACTGGGCCACTGTCTGGCCTTATGGCCTTGGGCAGGTCATTTCACCTTCTGGGCCTCCCTTTTACTTAACTGCAAACGGAAGATCTGATCTCCATGGCTCTACTATTGGGTGTTCTGTGATTCCTTCTTTATAAAAATTGGCTGGGCTGGGGATGGGGTCAGTGGCTCCCAGTGTCACCCAGCCAGAGGAAGAGGAAGGACAGAGCCAGGAGACCACAGAATCTTTTCAAGGGAGAAACGGTTTCCTGGATGAGAGCTGTTAATCTCTCAGGTGGAGAAGAGCAGTGGAGAAAGACCAGGGTCAGCAGGGAGCAAGGCACAGTTTACCTGGGGTCTTAGGAACCTAGGGAAGGGGTCATCCAAGTACTCAGAGGCTGGGGCTGACTGGCCTGAACTTCTTATGGGTCCCAGTTAATTCCTATGAGGGCCAAACTGAATGGGCAGCACGGTGAGCTCCCCCGTGTGCTGGGCAGGTAGAGTCACACTGATGATGTGCGTGCATCCCCTATGTGCCTGCCTCCGGGGGAGGCAGTCTTGGTCTCATTTTACAAACAGGGATGCAGGCTCAGAGAGCCTCAGTGGCCTGTGGGTGGTGCTCAGCCTGTGACCTTGAAGCTGGCCTTTCCATCTCCAGCCTTCCAGTTGGCTAGAAGGAGCTCAGTGGGAAGAGTTAGTGAGGGGTCAGTGTGGACGCCCTAGTGCCATAATTTAGTTCGTGAGCAGCTCTTAGTGGGAAGAGATGGAAATTAAAAGTGAAAATTCAAAGTCATGGTAGTTACCAGGAAATAAAAGTGCAGGAGCTGAATTTCCAGTTAAAGAAATACAAGTGAGGTTTCACTTTCCTGAAAGTGATGAAACTGTCAATGATATGACATGATTTCTGATGGGCAATAATGAGGAGGAAGCAGAGTGCGATGTCTTTCCTGCTCTGTGAACGATTTTATGGTTATGTGGACAGTCAGTGCCGATCATCTAAAGCCCCAAACATTGTTTCTCTTCAGTGAAGGGGATGTCAGAGAGTCTCAACTTTCTAACATTATCTGAAAATTTAACTTTGTTTCCCGGTGGGGACACAGTGTGAATCTAGGCTCAATTGCATCCTAAGAGTTGCAGGAAGGGGTGAACTAGAAAATGCCCCAAGAAACTCAGCGCTGGCCTACAGAAAGCCCAGCTTGCTATAAACAGGTGCTTTATCTTCAGAGAAATATTTAACAGTTTTTACAACCAAGTTCAGTCCCCAAGTAAGCTCACCTGATGCTTTTCATAAAAACATTCCACACCCCTGACATTCTCTAGTTTCTTTCATCAGAACTGCTGACTTTACAAGGAGAAAAAAGTTCCAAACAGCAGCCCACAGCCCTGAGGGGTCATTAATAAACTGAGCTGGGTGACAAGATGGACAGACTTAACGACAGTGTAATTCAAGCTGCCTCTAAAGGAGAGAGCCATCCAGTCCTCCAGATGAAGGCCAGCCCCTGGTGGCTCTGGGTTCCGTCCCTGGGAGTTTTTTTGTTTTTGTTTTTGTTTTGGTACCGGAGATTGATCTCAGGACCTTGCACTTGCTAGGCAGGTGCCGGAACCACTGAGCTAAATCCCCGGCCCCCTGGGTTTTTAATAAAGTTGGAAAGGGAGAGGGCCATGATCACATGGGGGAATGTTAAACGGCATCAGAAGCCTAGAGGAATCCTCCCAGCATCCTAAGATTATAGGATGGAGAGAAAAACTTCAGTTCTGACTTGGGACGCTTTGGGGAAAGAATTGCATCCATGTCCTGGGGCTGTGTATTCAGAAGCTTTTAAGATCATAGAGGGTGACTAGCCATTCCACCTGGACCTCACAGGGCCTCTTGGCAGAGCCAGCCTGGGGGTGGAGACCCTTGGGAATCGTGATGACAGGTAGCTCCTGATCGCAGAATGTCTTTCAGGGCATGTCATTTATTATTTCCTCTGTTCTCTTGAAAGGGGAGACAGGGCGATGTCACTACCCCTGTTTTACACTGGAGAAAAGGATTTTCAGTGAAGACTCATCATTAAGAGGTCTTCAGGTATTGATTTTCTGATCCCAGTCTGAAACCACTGTGCATTTTTTAAAAAGCCCATTTAAATGTGCTGCCAGCCAGGTTCGATGGCACACACCTGTAATCCCAGCTCCTAGGGAGGCTGAGGTAGGAGGATTGCAAGTTCAAAACCAGTCAGGGCAATTTAGAGAGAGCCTGTCTCCAAAATAAAATTTAAAAGGCTGGGATGTAGCTCAGAGCTCAATCCCCAGTACCACACAGTAAATAGATAAACAATTAATTAAAAACAAACTTACTCCCAGAATGTGGGCAGCAGCCCACGTGTGCACCCTGATATAAAAAGATGGTGAGTCCCTGAAGCAGAGTGCGTGTTTGCTCTATGAGTCTTTGCCTGGTCTCCCCTTCCAGATTCAGTTCTAGGCCTCGCCTCCACCCCCAGACACATACAAAAAAATGTACTCTTTTTTGTTTTGTAATGTGAAACAATGTATTTGTTTTTGCAATGTATAAATTAAGAGCATGAGTTCTAGAGCCAGAGTTCCTAATCCTGACACTGGCCCATATTAACTCTCATACTGACTCTGGGCAGGTTGCTTGTCCAAACACTGGTTAGCACATGTGTGAAACAGGGCTGGGAACTGGCCTACACGTTCTCCTGGGGATGAGGTGACATAATGCACACCAGGTTTCTGGTAGGAAGGAGGCGCTCCTTGAATGTTGGAGATTTTTGCCGGGAGCTTCCTGTCTGCCTGGACGTGGCTGATGGCCACAGATCCTTGGACCAAGAGGACACTCCAGTGGACAGCTTGCCCAGAGAGTCCCCCCAAATTCACTGCTTCTGAGCCCCAACTGCCAGGGCGAGGGGAGTGGCCACAGCTGCAGGGAGGGACTTATGGGGGACTTGGAACCTCTATTTTCCTGTGTCACGGCTTCAGTCTCACTGACCTGGAATGATACAAGTGGATGGGATCTCAGAGGCCATTTGATTCGGCCACTCCCCCGATTCATGTATTCAGCTGGGCAGCATCTGACTGGTCAGCTGGCACTCCAAGCCAGGTGCTGGCTAGGCTCCGGGATGAAGCCAGGCACAGACTCTGACCCACTGCTGCAAGAGGGAGCTGAAGTACTGGCCCAAGTCACCTGCTCCTTAGTGCCCAAGCCAGTCCCAGGCCCACCTCTGTCCCCAGCCCAAGTGTCTCCTTAACCTCAAGGCGAAGCAATGCCCCCCAAAATGCCCAGACCTTGGCACGTCACCTTTTCCTTAGACCCTGGGGTCCTTTGCTTCACTGACTAGGGTTAGGAAGGGCTCTTTGTGCCCCCCAGACCTGAATCCCAGCCGTCCTCAGCCTGCCAAGGACTGGGGCAAAGAAACCCAGCTATATTTACCTTTCTCAGTCCTGCTGCTTGGATCCAACTTCCTGGGGGAGAAGCTTCAGCCCCTGTGTATGTATTTGCTAAATTTAAGGATCCTCCACTTCTTGCTTTTACTTCCACTCACTGATAGATTCAGCTGGATTTCAAAGACCTGTCAAGTTTCTCTTTGAAAAAAGACTGAAAGTGGAAATACAGAATGGTTTGATTTGGTTTTGGTTTCTCTTTTGGGACTTAGGCTGCTTTGCATATGTGTACATCAGCCAAAACTAATAGCTCTTTTGAGAGTTCAGAATAGCCCGAAGCGTCTACCCTGACCTGCTTCACTTGGGCGTTTTATCCACATCGCTGCATGGTGTATTTTAAGAATTCGTTTTACTCAAGGTGGGGATGGCATGAACTGAAAACGAAACAGGGAGCTGAGGGCTGGGCAGGGTCCTGGTGCTGGGGGTCACTTGGCCCTGCCCCCAGGGCCCCTGAAGCAGTTTGGTTTCAATGTGTCTTTCAGCAAAATGATGCTTCAGCACCCAGGCCAGGTCTCTGCCTCCGAAGTCAGTGCCTCTGCCATCGTCCCGTGCCTGTCCCCTCCTGGGTCACTGGTGTTTGAGGATTTTGCTAACCTGACACCCTTTGTCAAGGAAGAGCTGAGGTTTGCCATCCAGAACAAGCACCTCTGCCATCGGATGTCCTCTGTGCTGGAGTCCGTCACCATCAGCGACAGACCCCTCGAGATGTCGGTCATGAAAGCTGAGGTGGGTTCTTTCTGCACGTGGGCATCGCGCACTAGACGGGTGCACAGGAGAAAGTGGGGGTGCAGGGGGAGCAGTAGGAGTGGGTTTACTGTTTTGCATTAGGGAGGCCTCCCTTTGGGTGCCCTTCAACCAGGGACTCGGAGGAGAGGGAGGGAGCCATGTGGCAAAAGAGAGGCAGGACCCCGAGGGCTGGAGGAGGCTGTGCTGTCCTAACCCCATGGGGGTGTCCAGTAGGAGGCTGCATGCAGGGCCTGGAGTGCAGCGCAGGGTGAGGGCTGGAATCAAGAGCTGGAAGCCAGCAGCGCTAGGATGGACTTTCTGTGTTGAGTCCTCTGGACGGGCATGGTGTATAGTGATTTTTTTCACTATGGCTAGGGCCTCAGTCCTCAGGCTGGAGCAAGGAGCAGACAGCCACCCCCACTCTCCCCTGCCGCAGGGCCCATGGCCCCAGTACCCAGCATCTGTCAAGGTCGTGTCGTCTCAGACACTTGTTCTGCACTTGGCAGCCTTGCATGAGACACCTGCAGCAACAGACATAGCGGGAAGTTCGAGGTGTGGCTGCTCGTGATGCCGCAATGACTCAAGGATGTCATAGCCAAGATCTCGCAGTGCCACTGGGCTTTCCATTGTGGTTAGAAGATAGGGATATTTCAAGCTTACTCAACTGGCGTAATTGCAGCCTTTGGGTAGTGAATTTAAAGGTAGTGAAGTTAAAAGAAAGTTGGGACTGGGGGTGTGACTCAACAGTAGAATGCTTGCCTAGCATGTGCCTGGCACCACAAAAAAAAGGAAGCTGGTTGATAATCTCTCTGATTCTGTAATTACTCCTCCTAAGACTGATCTGAGATGACATTTGTGGAAGATCCAGCAGAGGGCCTGGTATTCAATAAATGGGAGCTGGGACTATAATGCCGCAGCCATGGGCATCAATAGAGGCATTAGCTGTTCCCCAGGTTATTGTCAGAGGGGGGGTCACAGTTAGACCCACAGTGTTCACTGGTGCCCAGTCCAGTACTGGATAGCGCAGGGTGGACCATGGGACACTGCGAGAGGTCTTTCCAATTAAATACTTTGCGATAACAAGATGCCGTGGAAGGAAGGGAAGGAAGAGAGGGAAGGGTGAGGAAGGGAAAAGAAAAAGCATTTAGAAGGCTTCTCCAGAGGAAGAAGCAGGCAGTCTGCTTCATGGGAACACCCCGGAAAGCCACAGAACTCATCTGTTCTGATTCTGTGTCTGCCAAGTGACTTTCTGATCTTAGGTCAGGGTCATAAGCAGAGTTACCTACTGGGAAGAGACTGGACCAGCAGACCCAGTTGAATATCTGATCCCCTTGGTAGCCTGATTCTCATCTTCAAAAGAGACACCGAGTCTCTGAAAGCCGTGGGCATCCGGGCATCTGGGCAGCATGTGGTTGTTTCCCAGATCCCGGGCCCCTTGGGAAGGCAACGTGGTGGAGTGGAACAAGGCAGCTGAGGCTGAGAGACAGTGCAGGGAGGGAATAAAACCCCTGGCTCTACATCCAGGTTTTGCAGCCTCCTGTTCTGGTGGCAGAGAACGGGTGATTCCTGGGAGTTCCCTGGGCACGTTTCAACTCTGCACCCCCAGGAAAACGAGGGAGCTGAACTAAATGATCTGTAGAAAGCCTTTTCCATCCTGAGCTGTGTCACTCTGAGGTCTGCTCTGTCTTCAGAGCTGAAGCCTTTCCCATCTATCCAGAATATCTGTAGGGTTGCAAAGGAAGTACGAGTGTTGTTCTTAGAAAGATATTGATGACGTGGTTAATAGTGGTAACTAAGGCTTCTGTGGTGCTTACTAGGAATTAAATACCATCAAAGCATCACACATTTATTAACTTATTTGTTCCTCATAGCAATCTTACCAGGTAGGTACCGTTGTTGATCTCATTTTACGAAAAAGGAAACTGAGGCTCAGAAGAGCAAGGTGCTCTTAGTCTTACAGTGAGTAAGTGCTGACACTGTAGAAGTTTAGCCTAAGCCTAAATGTGTCCCTGTATTATTCTGGGATCTAAGATGGGAAAGGTAGAAATTCCTCTTCCCCCATTTCTCCCTTGGGCTTTGCCTCTGTGTATTACAAGGTCACCGGCTCAATCCAAGCAAACTCAGTGTGATCTAATACAGAGAGATAGTTAAAGAGTGACATGGGTGATTATGGAATCCAGCAGCTGCCAGGAATCCCACACCGTTCCCTCTGTCCAGAGCAGGGACCAGTGATGTGATAAGGTCTGACACTGGCAGCCTAAACTGTCAGGTGCCCAGCTCACCACGAGTGCTTCGTTCCAGCTCGACTCTGGTCTCTAAGCCAAGCCCAGTGGTCAGATGCCAGTCCCTTATCAGTCCAGACAAAGCCAGGGACTGCCATGGACACCGTATCCCAAAGCAGCAGGACAGGGTTTTGTTCTCCGGGAGCTACAGGCTGGCTCACGGGGAGGCACAGGCTTGGAGGCCAGTATAGATTTATTGGCCCAGTCGGTGGATGCTTCTGGTTCCCCACCCACATACAGCGCCCAGCCATGGGCTGATTTATGCCACCTGGGTTGGGATGGACTCAAGTCCCTCTTCTGCAGGAACTCCACAGGCATCTCCCAAATTCAGGAAGTTGGTGCCACAGTGCTTCATGTGAACATAGAGATGAGTGGAGTTGCCCTTGGGTCTTGGATCAGAGAAGAGACAGGCAGAGAGGGTGGCCACATGATGCTCTGGAGGCCCCTCCACATTTAGGGGAAAGGGACATTCTTACCAGAGTCTGTCTCCTGTTCTAAACGATTATAGTCAGCCTCAATAATTATCAATATCCAAAGTCCAAATCCATACCTAAAATAGGTTAAGATTTTGCTTTACCAATAGTGCCAGGGCCATCGTATTTTCACAGTTGGCTTTCGTTATTCATTCTCAAGTATGCACGGGTGCGTGCCTGTGTGCAGGGTTCCGTGTAAAAGCCTAGGGCTTTGGTGTCCCGGGTCCCTTGAGTGTGGAGGCTGCTCCGCTTTCCAGACTCGGCTGGCAGTGAAAGACAGTGAATTTGAAATGCGTGGCATTTTACGGTAGCACTGAATGTGAGCCTTAAGGGTTTGATAGGTAGCCCCTGAAGAAGACGAAAGGAAAAAGAGGCGACGGGAACGAAATAAGATTGCAGCCGCTAAGTGCCGAAACAAGAAGAAGGAGAAGACAGAGTGCCTGCAGAAAGTGAGTGCTCCTCGTCTCCCCCACTCCTGCCCCCGCCACCCTGTGTGGCTGTCAGAAGGGGAGTTACAAAGCCTGGTAGCTGGTAGCAGAAATGCCAGGTGCAGAATGAGGAGGTAGCCAAGCTGTTAGCACAGCGGATGGGAGGCTGGGTGCAGGAAAAGCAGGTATGAATTAAAATCCTCCCACGCACTCCCAGCAGCCTTGGCCATTCCTCACAGATGCAGCACCCTCCTGGCCAGTGCAGCTGAAGAGGCTTCACCCGCTTGTTTTCCCACAAGGAAATTGGCAGCTCTCATTTGGCTCCATAAGAGAAGCCTCCTCAAATTAATCTCCTCAAACAAGTTCTTTCCTGGATCTGAAAGCTGTGGTTACTTTTCTCTGGGTTCCCGCCTTCTGCCTCACACAGGCTTTTGAGCCCTGGCTCCTTGGGATCACTGTGGGGCAGTCCATGTGAGCCTCAGAGCCCTGTGTCTTCCCAGTAGCCACGTCGCTCCCCCAGTGTGGACAGGCCAGAGCAGAGTACCAACCCAGGTGCCACAGGGCGCTGAAGCCCCTTCTGTTGCTTCAGTGGGTCCATAGAAATGAAGAAATTTGTGTTTGCTGAGTACGTTTTTTCTGGGAAGGTGAGCTTCTCAGTGAGGTCAGTGACTCCCAGACTTAACACCGTGAGACTGGATTTCTCCCTAGCCCTTTGGGTCTCGGTGCCCGGCATGTGGGCTGTTGGAGCCATGCAGAGATCTCTGAACTATTGATCCTGTTGCAGCTTTGGCCCTGGTAGCATCAAACCTCCTTGGTGGCATCGCCAGAGCTTCTCTGAAGAGGCCCCCAGGTTTAAAGGCTTCTCCAGGTCTGCACACTCCCCTCCCTAGTCTTCATGGGGACAAGGTTCCCTCTGCAGGTGTCCCCCGAGGTGGCTTCCTTCCTCATGCCTCTGCCGCTTGTCCCTCAGGAGTCAGAGAAGCTGGAGAGTGTGAATGCCGAGCTGAAGGCGCAGATCGAGGAGCTGAAGAATGAGAAGCAGCATTTGATATACATGCTCAACCTGCACCGGCCCACATGCATTGTCCGGGCTCAGAATGGGCGGACTCCGGAAGACGAGAGAAACCTATTCATCCAACAGATAAAAGAAGGAACACTGCAGAGCTAAGCAGCCATGGTGTGGGGCAACGGGGGAGTCCTCATCGAATCCTCCTTTTCCACCCCAAACCCTGAAATCATTGGAAAGCTGACTTCCGGTATACCTCTAGCATCCCAGCATTGAGGCAAGAGGGCCCATGGCAACTCCGCTGGGCCTCCCCACTTTGGACCAGGGCGAGCGCATCCTTTGCCTCAACTCCAGGATTTAGGTCTTAACATACTGGCCATTCTTTGCCGTCCAAATGGCCCCTGGTTAGGGTCCTGCCCGTCCGTCAGGATTCACACAGAAGTGTCTGTACCTTGGGTGGGCGGGGTGGAGCCATCTCCTCCTCAGCGGCTG